CCTCTCTCTCTCTCCGCTCTCCCCCCTCTCTCCGCTGTCTCTCCTCTCTCTCTCTCTCTCTCCGCTGTCTTTCTTCCCCTCTTGGCTGTCTCTCTTCCTCTCTCAGCTGTCTCTCCTCTCTTACTCTCTGCTGTCTCTCCTCTCTCTCCGCTGTCTCTCCTCTCTCTCCGCTGTCTCTCCTCTCTCTCCGCTGTCTCTCCTCTCTCTCCGCTGTCTCTCCTCTCTCTCCGCTGTCTCTCCTCTCTCTCCGCTGTCTCTCCTCTCTCTCCGCTGTCTCTCCTCTCTCTCCGCTGTCTCTCCTCTCTCTCCGCTGTCTCTCCTCTCTCTCCGCTGTCTCTCCTCTCTCTCCGCTGTCTCTCCTCTCTCTCCGCTGTCTCTCCTCTCTCTCCGCTGTCTCTCCTCTCTCTCTCTGCTCTCTCTTTTCTCTCCATCCCTGCTGTCTCTCCTAACTCTCTCTGCTGTCTCTCTCTGATGCCTCTCCTCTCTCGCTGCTGTCTATTCCCTCTCTCTCCTCTGGCTGTCTCTCCTCTCTCAATCTCTCTCCTGGTTTTTTCTTCTCTCTCTCATCCTTGCTCTCTCCCCTGTCTCTCTCTGCTGTTTCTTTTCTCTCCCTCCCTGCTGTCTCCCTCTGCTGTCTGCTGTCTGACACATTCAGCCACACTAGCACCGCAGGAGGGAGCTCTGGTAAGTGAGCCGATCGCGATCTACCAGTATTTGCTTTGCGATTGACTGATAGATCGCGATTGGCCTAATGGGCACCCCTGGTCTACAGAAATAGAACTCCAACAGATGTTCTAATACCGTGTTTCCCCGAAAGTAAGACCTAGCACCCTCTTCAGGGATGTCTGTAATATAAGACCTACCCCGAAAATAAGACCTAGTTCGGTGGTAGATATAGAAAAAAAAAATATAAGTCACTGTCTTATTTTTGGGGAAACACGGTACACTGTATCCAAAATTACAAAACAATGAAATAGTGACCGGATTCGTGGTTAAACAGATGAAGCAACAAACAGTCTAAAACATTAAACAATCTTTATTTTTTTTTTTACAAAAACAGTGGAAATTTGTTTACAATAAATTACCCGCATGTTTAACTGTAATAGTCGACTTCACGTCTTTCCAAAGTTAACAATAAAACATACATATATGAGATCACAGAGTCCAGGTCATGTAATAGAAGAGGCACATACTTATTTTGCCTGTTGAACCAAGAACCTCAGATAAAAGAATGGACTGGTCCTCCCAACCTTTTAAATTATTACAAAACTTTATTGAAAGCACATTTTTTGTTAATGAATACATAGATTAGCTTTTACTTTTGTTTAAAAACGATTTATATTTAAATCTAATTCCTAGGCCTTGATCTAGAACTAACTGCTGATAAACTGACTAAAGCTACACCTACATTCAATTATTTACTATGCAGGAATACACACTTGGCCTTGTGAGATGATTTGTTAATATAGGAAGTTAAAAATGAAGTCTAACTGGTTAAGCGCACTCCTAGGGGGGTGTGGTGTGTTGTGGCCTGTGTGCGGCTCCTTATGGTATTAGTCCAAGGTGTCTAACTGTGTGGTAAAGAAAAGGAAGGAGTGCCACTACCTGGTACAGAATATGTGGACAGGAAATGACAGGATGGTAACGATGAATCAAGGTGAATGAACGTGGAAAAGGAAAGGCACCACCATTGTGCCCATCCATTCCTTCACACTTGAGTGCCAAACACCGCCTTTTCTTTTCCACGTTCATTCACCTTGATTGATTAGTACCACCCTGTTATTTCCCGTCCACATATTCTGTGCCAGGTAGTGGTGCTGCTTCCTTTTCTTTTCTGTTGTTTGCAACTATAGGAGCTGACTTCATTCCGAAGCTTATCCATAAGCGCAGATTAATAGTTTTCATGAAAATTCAAGTTGCCTGGTTGTTATGCTGATGACCTGGTGTTCGTTCTTTTATTGACCTGGAACAGGTATTCAGATCAGAAACATCAGAACAAAGACTACATTTGTTATATGCACACCTGTTTTAGGTCAGTGACTCAACATTCTGAAGCAAGATGGTCAAAGAGGCAACTAGCATTTTCAGAAGGAGAGGTCGGCAATGGCAGGCTCCATGTTTGTCTCAGGAGAGTTTTCCTTTAAAAGAAATCTTCACTTTATTTAGTTTGGGTGAAGGGAGAGGTCTAGGTCTCACATTATGCTCACTTTTGCAACCCCAATGTGAAGATTTAAGAACATCAATATGATCCTATCAGTAGGCATCTACCCCTATCTTTTAGAATTCTCTAGCTCCCCAGCCATCATGTTCATCCAATGATGTCACAGCTTAGAGAGTTACTGAGCCGGATGGATGCAGGTTGAAAGTTCAAAATGGCTGCAAGCATGCACTGGATCAGTGATTCAGTTAGTAAAGCCACGGGGTGAGCATGGCAGCCAGGGAACTATCGCCCTTCTAAAGAGGTTGACGTTGGCAGTTTTGGTGACCTTCTGGTGATCTCCTCCTCTAACTGCTTGGTACTACTGCTGCATCTGAGAATTTGATGTTGGGCCCATTGACCTTTATAGGAAATCCTATGGAGCCCAAACAAGGAGCAATTCTTGTACAGCCAAGAGAGGAGATCAAAACAGGGAATTCATAGTTCTGGGTCTTCACATCACTACTTCAGCTTAGCAAACATTTTATACTGAGGAATTCCCCATTATATTCCCAGGGCACAACTATATAATTAAATAAATGCACAAGCTGTATTGACAGAGATGCAAACTAGACAAGCAAAGCACCATTAAAGGGGATTGCAATAATGTAATCCACCCGCCACCAATGAGCATCCACAACACATAATGGTCCCCATCTACAAATCTTGTCTTGTCCTGTTGTGTATATCTATTGATGGAACACGTACTATCATTGCATAGATAAGGACACTTAAAGCTTATTATATCCGAGCAATGAAAGACAAGTTGCGCTGCGCTTGAGTGTGCAGCATCAGGTGAAAATGAAGAAACTAGGAAGAGCAAATCAAAATTATCTGGAGGCAATTTGATTTTTTATGTAAAACATCATAAATAGGGCCTAATTTATTTTTTGTACAATTTATAAATTAACTTTTTTATTTATTTATTGGAGTTTTATCAATCATCTAATTCTAGGGAAGAACTGTTACAGAAAATGCAGTTTGGCAGCAGGTGTGTCCTACCACTTTGTACCACTAGAGGCAGCCTTTGTCTACTGTCAGTGATGATCAATCTATCTAACGACCACTGACTCAACCGTATTGTCATCAGCAATAGTTGTGCACCAGTACTTTAAGTTCTACAGGGCACATGCAAAAAACAAACTGAATCAGTATTTATTCCGTCCATACATTACATATTTTTTTGAAGACATATCTTTGTTTTGAGACTCGAATTTATGTAAACAATTTCCAAAAACATCAAAAAAGTTACTTATGTACAATGTACTGTATACAATGTGGTGTGGCAGTCCCACAAAGGAAGGACGTATAGCTACTTTAAAGAGTCCATTCATCCCTCTTAACCGTGTTTCAGAAATTTAGGTGATCTTCTTCCAAGGCTACGGGTAAAACGACTGATTCCAGGAGACCTCACCTCCATAGATACCTGCTCATCCTCCTCCTGTACCGGGGTGAACTCTGGCTGGATGTAACCACCATGCCCATAGGACTCTGGGTAGGCAACTTGGTAATGCGCATAGGGATCTGGTTCCTCATCATCGTCATCGTAAGGACTTTGCGGGCCATAGCTTTCAGGAGAACCTTGATCAGGTTGTCCCCCATACCCACCTTCACCCGCCACCACCATGTACAAAGGATTAAATACATGGCAGAACATATTTAAAAGAAAATACTAAAACAACTCCTAAATAATGTACATACATTTAAATAATGTATTTTAATTTACAAACACTCAACGATTAATACAAATAAGACGGGTCAACAGAAATGTAGTCGAAGACTTAACTAGACGACCATCACCACAACATGAAATAAATTCAAAGACATTTACATCGGAAAATGACTGACAGGTCACAGTGTCTTGGTATCTCTCAGCACTATGCCTGCCAAGTTAAGCTGATCAGGTCTCAATAAACGTCATTGGTTTAGATATTTAAATGTCTTTGTAAATCTTTCCACAATATTTAAGGTTTTCTGTATATAGAGGAACTTCAGGAAAAGGTCAATGCAAATTAAGGCGCTTGAATTAGGAGAGGAGGAAGTAAGCAAAATCACTGACTCAATACACAATTACACACTATCTGCATCTATGAAGGTTTTATTATTTCAGTCACTGAGCAAGTTGGAGGTGTGGCAGAAGATGGAACTATGACCACACAGAGTAATAATTGCCTGCCAACAAAACAGGTTGTACTCTTGAAGGTAAAGCAGCGATGGGCAACATAAAGAGAACCAAGACTAGCTGCATAAAAAAAGGAAAACTGCTACATGTAGGTAGTGAATGTTATAAATGCCTACAAATATACTTTATTCTCTTTTTTTTTGACTGGGGTTATTCTTTAAAGATATCTTCCTCTTTAATTAGAATGGGAAAAACCAATTGACAAGCCTCGCTGTTGCATCGTCTATCCCTCTGCCAATCAGCTGCTTGAGAAGGGCCACTAAGGAATTCTGAAGCTACACCTCATTGGGCTGCTTGGTGTTTCCCAACCCAATAAGGCTTGGCTGTAGAAATACACTGTGACTGAATTAAATCCAGCTTGTTGAAAAAGCAAAGTGGCTATGCTTTTAGTCTAGAGATGCCTTTAAAACATTCAGTCGGTTGGGATATGAAAGAAGAAACCCCCATTGGTCAACTGTATTAGGGTGCCAACGGGTTTTCTACTTTCTAAGTGAAAATGAACAGCCTATTCCAACATGCAGATTAATGTGAGTAGAGAGGAACATGTTTCTTCCAATGAAAATCCTCAACTACTGTTACATCGCAAAGTCTCTTTATAGTCTTTCATGTTTTGGTCAAGCTATTTTCCATTGGTGGGTTTGAGTCATTAAAACAAAGCGGGTTGTACCACAACTGGTCTTGCTCTTCAACGTTGGTAGTCATTGTAAGGTATTATGCCTTCTCATTGGAAATGAACATAAAGTGAATGGGATGAGACGATCAGAGGGATGATGGACGAGGAAGAAAAAACACAAACGTCAGAACAAAAATACCATAGCACCAACAGAAAAATATAAACACAAAACTTACAGAAAATGTAAGCTAGAATAACAACATTTCCATTTATGAAAGCTTGTGCTGCAGTAACCGGGTGTGATATGTTACTGGTAAAGTTTAGAAAATACTGATCGGTGGCCCTGAGTAACACTTTTCCACAGTTACCTAGGCAACTCTATTCATAAATGTCCGACATTAATGTGTCTTCACGTCACAACACATTATATAGTTGAGCATACACAAACTGACAACTAAAGAAGAGACTTTACTACAGCCAATGCCAGCTGTCAATCTTTGAGTGCCTTTGAGGTATTATACTCAACCCTTCTGCGGCCCATGTCTCCCAACTTTGCCAAGTTCCAGCTCTGCAGCTTTTGTTCACTTCTAGTTGCCTGCCTCCCTGGCCATACACTCGGGTTCCATCCTCCAACCCCCTACACCATTGCTGAGCACTGCAGTGACATATGGGATAGGGGATGGAACCAAAGTGCACAGTACAGGACAAGGTCTCCCAGAAGTATTGAATGCTAAAGTGTCTGATAAAGGGTGCAGCACTGGAAAGGAGGAAAGGTAGGAGATACAGGGGTATTGAGCGGTAAGTATAATACCTTTTCTATTGCAGGAGATTAGGAATTTCTCAGGTGACCAGCAGAGTCACTTTAAAGGGAGTTGGGCAGGGTTGAAATACTGGGGCTGCCATGCTGACATGTTTCTTGAAAGTTCAAGTTCCACAGTTGACTTTTTTCATCTACCTAATGGGTAAAAGTCCCAGACCAAGCTTGGTCCTCACTGGCCAACAAGCTTGTTGAATCCAGGCAGGTTGACCACCTTGGAACCTGAAACGTCCAAAACAAGTTGGCTCAAATATTTTTTTTCCGATAGGTTCCCTTTAAGCTGTATCTTGTATACTGTCAATGCCTGTCCACTGTGTCCCACAATATGGTGCAATAGGGTTTTGTCCCCTACAGTAATACACTTATTTTCCTTTGGCCTAATATTGTGGTGTCGATATGGATATGGAGATACCCAGGAAGGACTTCAGTAGCTCTTAAAGTGTATGTAAACCCTAACAATGAACTTCTTTTATTTGCTTCCTCTTGACCTGTTAAATATACAGTTGAAATAATTTTGTCATCACTTTTTGATGCTTGGTGATTTACCCCTTAGGTCCCCTGAGCTGACACATCGGGTCAGTAGAGGGTGTTTAGCCCTGTGAACTCCACGGAGCTTTAACCCTTTACTCTTAGAGAGTTAACAGAGTGGCAGGGAAGCGAAAGTATGGTAAGTGTAGCTGGTGGAGCAACTATTAAAGTGAACCTGTTACTTAGCTTTGTATGGGCAATTGTCTTACTTAAAAAAATCTAATGCTTTCCCAACAGCATAGTCCTCAGCATAGTCCATATGTGCACTTTGAAAGAATCATAAGACAGCTACCAAAAATATGGAATACGAGTACCACAATCTGTAACATAAGTACCCTTTTTAATAAATCGAAGTCCTTTTAAATAATAAGGTGGCCAAGTCGTGAACCTAAACACATGTTTCTACATTATCACTTCATCATTGTCCTCATTGTTCTGAAACTGTTTGTAAAAATCACTGATGTGGATCAAAAACAAAACATGTTCACCAACATTGCAAACCGTGCAAACAAAAGATACAAACATGCTAACATGCAAACCGTGCAGACAAAACACACAAACACGCCGACATGCAAACCGTGTTTGCAGTGTCCTATATGGTTAATATGTCACAGATGACACAGATATTGTGGGGGGTTTCATTTCAAACATTACCGCTTGGCAAGGCACATTTTAAAGTTTAAGCCAAAGATTGATTGGGTTTTAAACTTAGAATTGAGAAATGGCCTACGATGACACCAGATCATGTTCAATGTACATGTGACAAGTGACTTTGCAAAGTAGGAGGAGTTTACCATGATAATCAGGGGTGGACATTCCATTTGTTCAGTAAGTGCAGCTGCACTGGGGCCCACTGGGACTAAAGAGCTAATTGATATTAGATCTGGGTAAGTCAAGCATTGGGACCTCCTTCTGCTGTAGTGTATATCTGGACACTACTCAATTCTAGGACTTTTGAGAAGCAGGAAGTTTAATTCTAGATATCATAAAAAAACCTTTCTAAGGGAGGGTTCTATGGAACCCTAGGGTTTCTCCAGAGGTTGCTAGGGGTTCCTTGAACTGTGAGCGGTGGCAGATTGCTCTCCCACTTAAAATTACTAAGGGGCAATATTCCATAGGGAATGAATGTCAAAAGACACAAATAATGAATGGATATAAAAAGCCATGTGCCATCAGTTGATATAAAAATAACTTCTAATAAATATAATATAAAAAGAAATGTCTGGTAAGTAAATGTGAAAAAGAATGCCATAAAAGTGAACATGAAAACTGATACGTGATAAATGAATCCAAACATGATGGGGGATACTTGAATTTGAGAAGTGATTATGGAATATCAGAATTAATATGTAATAAGTGAATGTGTGATATAGCTCGATCTAAACACGACAAAGCTGGCCTACCATCATAGTCAACCTTTGTCTACATAGTGCACCAAGAAACAATAGATACTAAGAAAGGTTTGGCACTCACCATATCCAGCACAGGAGGCAGCATCACAATAACCTTGTGGACCAGGAGGACCCATAGGACCAGTATTACCTGAAGGACCTGGGAGGCCACGCTGACCAGGAGCCCCAACTGGACCTTGGCTTCCAGTACGACCTTCACCGGGTGATCCTAGACAAAAAAGTTTTAAAGTTTTGTATGTCCAGTCTATACATACAAATGTTTCACTGTATACATTTTTATCTACACTGTGTTTCATACATCGTAATACAGCATGGTGATTGAGCTATACTGTTCACCCTATCTCAGTGCAAGTCTACAGGTTTATTCCCACCCATAATGATTCAGAGACTACAGTACAATCAATAGGTGCCTAATCATGTCACTGACTTTATTAAAAGAGTCATCTTACAAGAATGCTGATTGTATTGTCTGATATAGACTGCCACTAGAGGGGGCAACTTTGCAAATCTGTATATATAATACAGCAATGGTACAGCAAAATGGTACAGAAAAGATGTAAACATGTGAAATCTTCACTATAGTAATAACTAAAAAGGTTTGCTCACTGATATATATATGAAAGTTATATAGTGACGACAATTTACATTGTACATTCTTATCAGTCCCTGCCCTCAGGGAGCTTACAATCTAAGGTCCCTATCTCACATACATACAAGGGCCAATTTAGAGAGGAGCCAATTAACCTTCCAGCATGTCTTTGGAGTGTGGGAGGAAACCGGTCTACCTGGAGGAAACCCACACAAGCACAGAGGGAGAACCTCGCTTAAACATTTTTTAATGTGGTCTTCAGAAACCTTTCTTAAAGGAGAGCTATGAGGTGAGTGCTTTTCACTCACCTCATAGTTCTAGCCGACCTGTGACAATGAGACTGTCACAGGTCGGCTCAGTAGATCGGGAAGTGAGCGAACACATACCGGCGTTCGCTCACTTCTCGATCCTGTCACGGCTCTCTGCCGTGACAGGGGAGGGGCTGGATTCCCCCCTCCCTGCTCCGATCCTCTAGCGCTGACTGGTGGATTGGACGGGGGAGGGGTGGGTACAGCTGGCTCTGCCTCTAGATAGGCAGAGCCAGCTGTCACTCACGCAGCTGGGCGGATCCAGACATAATTGTCGGGATCCGCTTCAGCTGCGGTCGTCTCACTACACTATACTGCTGCTCGCGGTATACTGCGGCGTCTCAGTATACCGCGAGTTGTAGCTCGCGGTATACAGAGCTTAGGGTGACGGGAGGACGCTAGTTTGTGTCCTCCCGTTACCCTAAGGAGAACTATGGGGAAAAGCCCTAACCCCATAGTTCTCCTTTAAAGACCACATTTAAAAAAATTATTTATTTAAAGCTGCATCTATCCTTTGAAGGCTTGGAGGTCTACAGTAGACAAAAGAGATATTTAACCTCTCTGGGATCAGTTAAACTGAACTTGTATAAAATTTTGCCCCTGGCTTTACGAGAATTTGGCATCACATGAATGTATTCATGATCCCTGGGGAAGGTGTTTGCTCCATTTTGTTTTCTTACCTGGAGCTCCCGGTGGACCCCTCGGTCCCTGTGTTCCCACTCCGGAGTTTCCTCTCTCTCCCTTTTCACCAGATAAACCTGTTAAAATAAAAACTGTTATTTAACAAACTATTTATTCATTCATGTATTTGTTCTATTTGTTGATTAATTAATTAAAATTTTGATTTATCCATTCGATCAAAAATGTTTTTTATCTTGCAAAGCAACAGGAGAAAAGAATGTCTAGCAGGCCTATCCCATTTTTTTTTAATTTAGTTGGGCAGCAATTCCAAAGCTGTCACATGTCGCGGGTGTTTCAGCGGCAGCAGTGAAATGTCATACCTGCCCATAGTATAGATAACTGCATCAGATTAGGATGAAGACTCTGACAAAATGGCCAACTGTTTTTGCATTTGTAGACTTTTTTCTGCAGATAAATGTCCACAACTTGTGTCTGCCATTTTCTAAGTCTAAGTATTGCCACATGGACATGCACAATAGTTTCCTAGAAAATGTTACCATATCCAACTATGTATTTAATATATAGAGAGACAGCATCACAGGGCAGAATGACAGTGTCTCCTGATAGCTACCCACAGCAATATATACTGACTGATCCGACCTCCTGCATATCCCCACTGTAGGTATCTACACTGGGTTATCTCCAGTGTCAGATGGTGTTGGAGCTTACCCAAGTGGCTGACATCATGGCCCCCAGTGTTGGAACTTGCAATTGGCTGCTTAAACCCAAGTAATGTCATATGTGGGAGGTCATATGCTCCCCCAAACCCAGTAGCCCTGCTCCGTTAAAGCAACAGAGCTGTCTGCCCGTTGGCAACATGAAAGTTGCCCTTTTAAAGAGGCCCTGTTACCCACTCCCTGACCAGCTTATACTCACTGTCAAAGCATCCTCTGCTTGTTGAAACTTAGAACATTAAGGAACATTAATGTTGCTCAGACCATCAAGTGACAGTGCTCAGGTTTAGCTAAAAGGCCTAAACAGTGCATTATAGAAGCACTGGCAGTTTTACAGCAATAGCCATGCAAGAGGTAAAAAGCAAGTTGCTGCTGTGAATGTGAGTTTAAGGTAGTTGGGGGGGGGGTCAGCGTTACACAGACCCTGTCACTTTGGGGCAAGGTGACCCATCTCTTTAGATCATTTTTGGAGACCTTTGGTAGATGTCTACCAGCTGGCAGCTTTCAGGCACAGCATTGGTCAGTCAGGTTCGAAAGCCCAATAACAATCTGCACCTACTCTTCTCCTTCCTTCCCTCTACATGCCATTAAGTTGTGTGGTCGGCATAGTTGACCTTGCAAGTTTATTGGGCACTCTATACAAAGCTTGGCGTGTTTGCTAAGGAAGGTCATATGGTGCCTACTCTTTGTGTCCATCCTCTATTGCCTATGGACACACTTGGTGCCACTTGGCAACATCAACATGTTATTTTTATAGAAATATTTGCAATGTATCTAATAGGATGATTCCTATTAGATACATAAAGTGTCAGAATATCACTTACCTCTCTCTCCTGGTGTTCCTGGTGAGCCGGGGGTGCCATCGAATCCTGGTCTTCCAGGAGATCCTTGTTCTCCAGGTGGACCTTGTGGGCCCTGTGTGCCTGGCTGTCCTGGAGGCCCAGCGATACTTCTCACTGATACAGACTGACTTGGTACTTGGTTCAGGAGTGAATTAAATCTGGCCATGTGACCTAGAAAAACAATTAAATGAGATAAGACGGAATCAGCTCTCATGAAAAACGTTTCCTCAAGAAATGTTCTAATGTTTCTGAACATTTTTATAGCTTTGTAAGCTGCCACTGCCGACTTCTCTGAAATATCTAGTTGCCTGGCTGTCACATTTATACTTTGTCTTCAATGCTAGCCATAGGGGTTCCTGACATTTGTCTGATAATCAGTTGCAGCCAGTCAATATTTTCAAAAGAACGCAAGCAATAGCAGCCCCCATATTTTTTAATTGATCATATTAAGAATACAGCATATTGTGAATGCAAACCATGCTCTGGCCATGCGGTGGTAAACTGGCATTTGGATAAACAGGTAATATGTGAGATTGCTATTCGATGGAGCTTGGATGGTATGTAGCTCAAGACTGAGGGCTGCATACATTAAAACCTTAAGGGCTGAAAGAAAAAAGAAAACAGCCAAAACATTTTTAAAGCTGAAGTGCTTGGTAGCACTTGGCAGCATAGGGAACTGGCACAGGTGTAGCCAGATAACAATGGAAGTTATGTATCAACATATTCTTACGACAATCAATATGCAACAGTGTCTCAAGCTAATATACTGTATATATTCAGCTGCCACACTCAAACAAACAAAAAAATACGCCACAATGATGTCTTTATACAACTTATATGTGTCGCACTCACTCTAATAAAATATAACATATATGAAACTACACCATCCTTAGTATGTCCACTGAGTGAAAACAAAACATATTTGCACAAAAAATATATGCAACAAAAAGTGCTTGGTACATAATAAAGTGTTCAATAGTTCATATAGTGCAATAGTCCATAAAAAGTGCTTTATATTTCATGTAATATTGCAATTTTCCATGCAGAAGTGCTTAGTGGTAATATTCCCCACATGATACTTGTTTTATTCTCTCCACCATGAACGTGCCACCCTCATGGTGCATTGAGAGAGAGTAGTATCCCTATTATCTCTGGTACCTGGGAAAGGGGCCATAGATGAAGACCCTAAGGGGAACAGGAGGTAAGAGACCTCCAGGGTTATGCTGAGACCAGTGGGTAAAGGCCAGTTTATATCTGCAAGGATTGGGGCTTGATTTCTGATGTCCCAGTAAAAAAAAAAAACATTGAGCAATGTAGATAACAGTGAGGCACTGACTAATTGTATACACCAAGCTATGATGTGGTATCCAGAAGTGTAATCAGTTGTGAATATGTGTGTGATGATTCCATCATAGTTCACCCAAGGTGGCATGTCCTTGGAAGATCGAATACTGCCGACCACCTTGCACAAGACCACTGGCTCCCAATGTTTGTGTTCTCAGTTTTGGATAGAGTGGTGAGGAGTTAAAATATCTGCCAGTTTTTTATTGCTGTATGTGACCCCATTGGGAAGATTTCTTCCTGCCCCTGGACAGCAATAAAAATATTGTCAGACGTTCTAACCCTTCCCTGTTCGAAAAAAAGAAAAATTCCTTGTCCCTTTCTGACAGGAAGTGAGGGAAAATATATCCCAAATCTGAAACAATCAGCAATATAAACCTGACAAAAGCTCTAACTCACCTCCATCCTCTCTAAAAGCAAAATATTATGTTTTAAATAAACCTTGATATGGCTTGAGAGACTTTTCTATAGATGAGGAGGACCTGAAAGCGTGTTCTTTCTTCTGTTTACTGCACCAAGAAGTCCATTATTTTTTATTATTAAAGTTCAGGTTTGAAATACTCACTCTGTATGATTTGCTCACACACTTGGCGAGCAATTGAACGGACCATGTTCTGTGACTGGGTGTCCCCCTACAATGAAAGGAAACAAAATCAAAAGCACTTTGATTGCAGTTAATTACATTAAGGGGGATCTATAGACTTTTTTAAATTGTTTTTTAGACCAACATATGAACACGATTGGCTGTGTCCTCTTTGTTATTTACGGAGTGGACGCTTGTCCAATATACACTGAGTGGCCAGTTTATTATGACCACCTGACGTTTGTAGGCAAATTAGCTATAATTAGCTATAATTTCGCGCTGAAGTTGCTAGAGGGCCAGACCATTATAAATAGGGAAGCAGGTTGTTTACCACGACAGTAGAAGTGATTTTTTTCTGAAGATACGGGTAAACAACGCGATTTAACAGCCTTTGAACGTGGGATGATTGTTGACGCTCGGAGCCATGGAGCGAGCATCAGCAAAACAGCAGAATTCGTTAAATGTTCAAGAGGGGCTCATTGTTAAAGTGTTTAGAGACCGGGCTGTCAGCCGAAAATCTGGGTCTGAACGTGCGAATTGTGGCCGTCAGCGACTAGTCAATGTTAGGGCAGAACGGAGAGTGACAAGACTGGTACAAGACAACAGAAGGGCAACAGTGCAGTGTCAGATTCCTCACATCACTTTTCAACATCTCGTGGAGGCCCAACGAAGTCATCTCGTGGAGTGATCTCGTGGCCCAACGAAATACTAATGGGGTGGTCATAATAATCTGGCCACTCAGTGTATATTCATGGCCACCAAATTAACAATAGCTAGAGCTTGGAAAATGCCTACTTTGAGCTATGTCGCTGTTAAAAATGGCCTGACAGATATCATGATTAATGAAAAGTTGACTGCAATGTTGTTAGATACACAAACAAAATTTGTATCGATTTGGGAACCTTGGATTTCCTATTCACAGCCTCCCGACTTTGATGTCTCATTGTCCCTCTAACTAATTTTGGTTGCCTTTCTCTGGGATGCCTCCCTTCTCTTCCCTTCTCTTCTCTTCTTCCTCTTTGTTCCCCTCCTTTCTCACTATTCGTCTGCTATCTCTTCCTCATGCTTCTCTTCAACTTAATGGCCTTTGGATCCACACCAATGCTGACTTTTGTTTTGTTTTTTCAATCTGACATTTTCCATTGGTCTTTTGCTGGTTTAAAATTTACCATACTCATGATGTTTCATGTTGCTGTCGAGATATGTATAGACTTTGTATTTTGATATGTTTCTAAACTGCTTCAATAATAAAACTTGTGTAACAGAACATGATTGGCTAACTGAAACAATCTTTTAAATATGTGTTATTGTTTAAAAAAAAACTTGGGGGTCTATTCACTAAACTACAGTAGGCAGCCGAGTGAATGACCGACCTAAAGCGAAGTGAGCCGAACGCTGTTCGGCCATTCACTTCAGGCTGGTAGGCTGATTTCAGCCGTATAGCGGCTGAAATCAGCCGTACATCGGGTGGCTTCACGTGGCTTCGGGTCGGCCGAACATGCTCAGCATGTTCGGCCGACCCGAAGATGCAATGACAGCTAGCTCCGACCAACAGTTTTCTATTGTCCGCCGGTTCTGCTGCCTTAAAAAAAAAACGAAAAAAAAAATTCTCCCGGGCGCTCTGGGAGTCTCCCGCTCCCGACCGCCAAGGAGAGAAACACTGATTTTTCTTTTTTTTTCTTATTCTGACATGGAGCCGTGTCAGAATAGAAAAAAAAAAAGATTTTTGCCCATAGGAATGCATTGCTAGATTCCTATTGGCTATTTCAATTTGCAAATTGCACTTGCCCTCTGCTGATGGGCCTGATGGAGAACTGCAGCAGAGGGCGGGTTCAATGCTAGTTTACTATTGGCTATTGCAAATTGAAATAGCCAATGGGAACCTAGCAATGCATTCCTATGGGCAAAATTGTATTTATTTTTTTATTCTGACACGGCTCCGTGTCAGAATAAAGAAAAAAAAAAAGAAAAAGCAGTGTTTCTCTCCTTGGCGGCCGGGAGTGGGAGACTCCCGGAGCGCCAGGGAGAGTTTGCTGTCTGGAGATCAGTGTCCATGGTTAGCTGGTAACCAGGGACGCTGATCTCTCTGCAAGTGACCGGAGGCAGCCGTAAGATCATGACTGGCTCCGCCCAGCTGTGAGAAGCAGGCTGTCCGCCAGTCGCTCAGCCAGCTTTGGCTTTCAGCGCTGCTCACCCGAGCTGAGGCATATGCCTTCGCCTCGACTGAGCCGCTCGGCTAAGTTCGGGAGCTGTACGGGCGATTGTGAATATCCCGTACAGCAGCCCTTCGATTCTACTGAACCTGGGGCCGAAGCTAGCCAAAGGATCAGCCGAAGCTACGGCTGCTTCGTGAATAGACCCCTATGTATAGTTTGTAGTGTTCAATGAACATAGGGGCAACCGTTTTTGATTACTTATCTCAGTATGACTAACAACAAACTCTTGGGGGTAATGATTGGTAGTCAGAAACCATGTGGCCTATGCTGTCTAGACTGGGAACAGCAATTTTCAATTCACTGCAAAAGAGGTAATTTTTTGCTTAAAATATTGTGATTTGGTAACTCTGATATGACACCTAGGGGTCAATTTATGACCAATTTACAGAGCTATTTGTCCAACAAATCGCTCTGAACATTTGCTCTGTGCAAATAGATGCAATGAGAAACATTCTTAAAAATATATATTTTTTACAGTTGAATGTATGCAATATAATACTGTATTTTTACTATTAGAGAGAGTTGGGGAGCATAGGACACAATAAGTATATATTTCCAATGGTCATTAGCTCCATCTAGTGGCCAAAATGCACTATTACATTACAGTTTGGCCACTAGATGGAGCCGAAGGTCATAGGAAATAACTATTTCCTATGCTCCTCAGCTTCATCTACTGGCCAAAATGCACTATTACATTACATCCATTTCTTCTGAAAGGAAAATAACGTTAGTTTTCGCATCCATTCACAAAGAACGAATGTTCAGAAAACTTTATAGGGCAAATGGCTCTGCAAATTAGGATAAATAGACCCCCTATTGTTTCATGCAAATAGTACATTTTAACAATAAGTCAATTTTACGGGTTAGCTACCGTACACTTTGTTCTTCTGTTTAAAGTGTCTATGTCAGTCCATTGGAGCCATTCCAGATCCACTTACAGAACAGGCAAAAAGTCTCTACATGGATGCTGCAGCCCACGTTCCTATCAGAGTGAGGCAGCATGAAGTGAAACTTTTCCTGAGTGAATGTACGTCTTCAACTTTCAGCCTGGGGCAGCTTTTGTGAACTGACCATCAGGGCTATCAAGAATGAGTGCTAAGCACCAAGTTTGCCTCCAGTACAGTCATACAGTGACAACACAACTCATTAACTGTGAGGTTTTTCTTGGTTATCATATTAGTAACATACTTACTCTTTCTCCTCTTTCTCCTTTTATACCAGGAGGACCCTGAGAGGATAAAAGATACATTATTATAATCATCATCATCACCATAGACATTATACAGCAACAATAAATTAATGCTCTGAGCTTTTAAGAAACATTTTACATGTGATTCCAAGCAAACACGCACATCAGTGTCAGAGCTTACACAGGTTAAATGGCTTTTACTCCCATGTGACAGTGTTCGGGACCGAGCAAGTGGATGCTCATGCCTAAGCACTGCATCCTTGGAGAAAGGAGAGATGGTCACATGTTCCACCATACCCAGAAGTATTGAGTATTTCCAAGATATCCGGCTGATGAACAAACTAACGGGGTAGCATGATGAAGGTAGAAACCGGGAGGGGTGTTATTAGGAGAACCTGTCACTTTGCCCTTTTATACATACTGTACCTTCAAACCCATCTTCAGAAAAAGGTCTAACCTTGATCCACACCACATTACTTTTTTTAGACTTCATGACTGACAATTTTTTTGTCCATGGGTGTTACAACTGGTATTTTATGGAAGGTCTTCACTTAGTGCAGTGTTTCATTATATTCTAGTGCCACAAAAGTAACAATAATAAGAATACAAATTATTAATAAGTAAAAGTCAATAATAAAATTAATAGCAGACAAAAATACAAGACATAAAAAATATGGAATTGCTGTTTATGTCATTCAATGTGAAGTAAAACTAGTCTTGACCTGATAATGTTGGAATCCTCGAAGGCTTCTCCTGAACTACCAGCATTGCCAGCAATGATTAATCATTTTCCCGGGGTACGTGTCTTCTCAATCTCTCCATCTAATTTTTATATCCAAACATCATGGCTCCCCCAGCAGTTGCTTCATGTCACGGTTATCATTTTTTGGAATGTTTGCATTAGAATAAATTACCCTGACAAGATGTTATTGGAAGGACCAATGGAGTTTTACTACATTTTCCATTTGCCACAAATAACACAAGCGAGCAGCTGGCTTTTCTCAAGTCTGTTATGGCAAATATGTATTTAATGTGAAGTACACAGGAATATCTGAGGTCATCTACTCGTATGCGTATCATAGTGATAACATCATAAAGAGCTTGTGTTTGTGCTATGCAGGGTAAACAATTACGTTTTAAAAAGGATTAATCTAAGAGGTTTTCTTGTAAAATGATGTATAGAAGTAATGGCACTTACATTTTTGTTATTATGACAGTTACAGTGTACATTAAATGTCACACCTTTCCTAGCCTCATATACTATATCCAAAGCTCTTCTTAAAGTGTAGGTAAACCCTAAGAATGAACTTCACTTATTTGCTTCCTTATGGTCTGTTAAAATACCAGTGAAAGTGAAATTCAGAGCTATCCAGTGTCCTCTGCACTCTGTTATCTCAAAGAGTCTACCTAGTTCCTATCAAGGACTACAGAATATTTAGATTTTATGTTGTAGAGATCTGGGAGGGGCAGTGGTGGAGTTGTTTAGCAAAAGACACAGGACAAGGATGACACCATTCAGTCCATGAAAAAGCTGTGTGTTGTAAGCCCACAATAGGACTTGATAAGGGCATTTCTAGAAGACCAACAGATATTTTTCTGTACTTTGAAGGGTCTTTATAGGGATAAAACAGCGAAATGTGCAGGTTATATAGATATATTTGGCATATTTTATTTATTTTATTTATTTTTAAGTTTTGCCTAAGCATAAAGTCGCTCACGGATTGGCAGTACTGATTTATCACTGATGTGTTAGAGAAGTAGGTGCTCTGACTGCTAAATGTTTGCCAATGAAGATTCTTAATTGCTTAAAGCCTACTTTTACCCCCTTTCATTAAAGGAGAACTATGAGGTGAGTGCTTTCCACTCACCTCATAGTTCTAGCCGACCTGTGACAATGAGACTGTCACAGGTCGGCTCAGTAGATCGGGAGGTGAGTGAACACATACCAGGTTCGCTCACCTCTCGATCCTGTCACGGCTCTCTGCCGTGACAGGGGGAGGGGCTGGATTCCCCTCTCCCCGCTCCGATCTGCCAGCGCTGACTGGCGGAACGGACGGGGGAAGGGGCGGGTACAGCTGGCTCTGCCTCTAGATAGGCAGAGCCAGCTGTCACTCACACAGCTGGGCGGATCCCGTCGTCTAAGTCGGGATCTGCTCCGGCTTCTCAGTATACCGCGAGCTGTAGCTCGCGGTATACTGAGCTTAGGGTAATGGGAGGACGCTAGTTTGTGTCCTCCCGTTACCCTAAGGAGAACTATGGGGAAAAACACTGACCCCATAGTTCTCCTTTAAAAAAACCATCAGCAAGCAGCTGATATGAAATCATATTACATTCAATAAACAAACATATTTTTATTTGACATGCAATTGCCATTTTTCCACTTCCTGGTACTCTTGGGCATTAGTGATGTAATCATAGCCAAGCATTGCATCCTCGGAAGGTTACATCAGCAGAGGAAATCTCATCTGTAATCTCGAGATCTCAGGGAAATACATTTCCTCCCCAGCGATGATGTACATGGTCACATGTCCTAGTTACATGTACCAAAGTTCTAGGAAATAAAGGGAGATATATTAATCTGCCCTTAGTAATAGTGGCCACTGTGAGAAGAATGGGGAGGAAAATAAATATAAGGTATGCAAAGAATAAAAAGCCGGCAATTATCTAGAAGTATCTGTTTGTAGATTTCCATTATTTATTCATTGGAATTTATATAGCACCAACAACTTATCCAGCCCTTTACATAGGACACATTCACATCAGTCTCTCTCCTCAAGGAGCTTACAATCTAAGGTCCCTATATCACAAGCTACATACAGGGCCAACTTAGCTTCTATGTCTTTGGAGTGTAGGAGGAAACCCACGCAAGAACAAGGAGGACATGCAAGCTCCTTGCAGATAGTGTTGTTACTGGGATTTGAACCAGGAAGACGTGCTAACCACTATGCCAATCTGCTGCCTTTACTATACATTTCTAAAGGTGTATTTGTTGCCATTTTAAAGATATGGGTAAAGTTCCTCTTTTAGCTGCCTGCCCGCCAACCTGCAGGAAAAATGTAAACAGTTTGACATTACAGTCAGTGATCAACAGGAAAAAAACTGCCTCCTGCGGGGCATGCACACCTTATCTTTTAATTGCTTAGAGATTTCTGAAGGGATTATATAACTGTAGAGTCAGACAGCCTATTTGACGGATGTTCTAGGTTTGAATGACAGGACACTCTGCTTCCTGTTTTAATTGGGATAATAACAGAATTTATAAACTCTTAATGATCTCTGCACATGACTTTTATAGCCTGTCAAAGCCGTCGTCAAATAAATAATCCTTGGCTGTAATTACTAAAACAAATCCACTTAAAATAATAATAACCAACCAACAGGCTTCCATATAATTCTCTGTTACTTTGCCTGGAAGAAAATATTGTCGTGCAGTTATCGTAGGTGCAAACAATTATAAGCGCTGCCCTAGGTGTTGCTGAGACAATTGGATATTGTGAGTTTAACTTTGACAGCTGAGCAGCATGAGAGTGTACAGATCTCTCCAATATAGGCTTCCCTGTACAACGTCCCATCTTACCAGTCTGGGGCCACTTCCTGCCCTCGCATTGCTACAGGTATTTCATATTTTTACAGGCTTTGGATAATTCCTGTGAAAGCTGATAAAACACACTTATATTTATTTACCTTTTTTCACTCTAGGGGGCTAGATTTAAATAATTTAAAGGGTATTATGTGCCCATACCAGACCTGTGCCTTCTATTAAAAAGAAAATAAAACTAAATTCCAACAAAGGTAAAAAGGTAATTATCTATAAATCCAGTATTGGAACTTAAACCATAGACATATGTTAGTGGCCATTGCAGAGCTGCCATTGCTGACTTGTTGTTGAAGGTGCAAGGTCCATGCTCAGAATTGAGTATGTTTTATGTAAGCAGAAATTTCATTTTAAGTTATGCAATGTGAATGAGTAACATAACAAATATAAAATAGGTGTTATCCCAACTGCAAAAGCGGAAATACACTTTAAGTATCGCTTTCTATAACTGGGCCATTTCAGTTGTCTAATGGTCAGGAAAATATGCATTTTCTCCCCTGGAAAAGTGTGGCCTGGCATGGTGGGAAGGGGGGGGGGGATCGCTTGTCCCCCCCTCTCCTGACCTGCCAGGCTGCTGCCTGGATCTGGTATGCGATTTTAGGGGGATCCCACTTTTTTTGGCGTTGGGTTCCCCCTAAAAATACCTACCGGACATAAAGGGTCTAGTTTGAATTGCAGAGGGTACCGCACGCTTTTTTTTTTTTTACATCGGGGGTCCCCACTAACATTCCTAAACTTTAGTGTATTCTCTGACAGCTGTCAGATTCTTTGTTTAACATTCGGTATTGGAATGTCATCAATGAAGCAGAAGCTGTTACAGAATACTCTCAGCTTCTTTCTTTGTTTACATTTTATAATAATATTGTGTTACTTTGTTTTCATTTGGGATACAAGTCCAGAATGTCAACAAAGAGCATAGAAGCCAGAGAGTGGCAACTGACACATAACTCTCCTGCTTGTTTAGCTCCGAATGAAATTCGGATGTATCCGAACTGTGTTATCCAACATTCGGATACGTTCGGATTCATTATTTCTGTCATTAGGAAAGTGGAATGCATCCAAATGTCCGAATATACAGAACTTCGTATGAGTTTCAGTTTGGAACAAAACTAATGGCACATGTCTAGCTCCTATGCAGTGGGGCTTGGTACCCAATGGGGCAGTATAACCATACAAGGTAAGGTGAGAAAGGACAAAAGGTATAAAAAAAGCCCTCCAACCAAAATCGTTTCATAGCACAATATGTTTATAGTAGCTATTAATACAGATATTAAATAGTGATCAAAGGCAGTGACTCTCATCTGGATGTTGCAGGTTCTTGTAAACATATGTGCACCAGATGCTTCTTCGAAGCTGATTTCTAATTGGTGCTTTGGGTTGGTGTATGTATAATGCTAAATTATCTTGTCTTGAATTGTATTGTGATTGTAATGTCTTCCTTATATTGTAAATCACTGCGCAAACTGTTGGTGCTATATAAATCCTGTATAATAATAATAATAATAATAATAATTATGCTAAGCCACTGCCTGTGCCCTCCATCAGTTTGCCATTAGGCTGCCTAACAGGTCCACCAAACAGGCAGCCCAACAGTGAACTTAAGAAGCCAGCTGACAACGCTGCTGCTAATTGTGAGGCAGTGGTTTGGCATTGACAACCTGCAACAGATCTCCAGGTAAGAAACTTTGCAACAGATTACAAAATTGTTTTTACTTTTAAGAGCACATGCAATCCTCCATAACCATTCAGTTGAGCTGCAGAAGGTTCTGTGTCTTACCCAATACTACATGTATCACCAGATGAATTAGTTCACCGATCACTCTACTTACCGGTGGTCCATTCTCACCCTGACGTCCTGGGCCTCCTGGAGAGCCTGGGGATCCTGGATTACCTGGCGTACCCTGTGATAGGAGACGATGCAAGTTATATACAACAGTGGGATTCCAACTTCCTTGCTTCCAAACAAATTACTTGGTTGTATATAAATATTAAGGAAATACTCCATAAACTGAAGATAAAGAATGTTACACTGACAGTGGCGTAACCAGAGTTATTGGCGCCCGGGGCAGAACATTTTTTTCCGCCCCCCCCCCATATTATATAAACATCCACTAGAACTGTACCCCCCACCCCCACACATATATATCAGCTAAGGAACTACAAGTCCAAGCATGCCATCATTGTCCCTGTACACCCCCCACACACACACATATCACCCAGGGAACGGCAATATCTGGTTGTTGTGCAGGGGCAATGAGGGCATGCTGGGACTTGTAGTTCCCTAGCTGATATCTTATGAAGCTGTATTCCACCTGAAAGTACTACAATGCCATTATAGAACTAAGAATAGAACATAAAATAAAACTTTTTTTTTTTCTAATACTCACCTGGTTCATGGATCCACCAACAAGCGGGGCCTCCCGTGTCCCATGCTGTTAGAAGTTGCATACAGCGTGTGCTGGTTACTACTTAAACTGGCGCGCGCAGTGTGCAGCTTCTGAGAAGATACGATATTAGCATAGCGGGGAAGGCGGCTGCGCATTTTGCATCACTCCCGCTATGCTAATAGCGTATCTTCTCAGAAGCTGCACACTGCGCGCG